ATAATTCGCTAAGTATGAGTAACATAGTTATAAGTTTATACGAGACAGACTGTAACAGTTTTGAATGTCTTGTCTTTAAAACAAGTGTGTAGACGTATAATTCAAGACTCTGTTACCAAAACCTCCACGTATTTGCAACATGTATTGTATAGAGCGAGACGTGTTAAACTGTTATTCAGAAAGTTCACGTATTGGTTTGTGATTCACTCTACTGACATGTTGAGAAATCTTGTTACAGATGTAATAATCTATTGAATTCTAGTGAACGAAACGAATGTTTTAATATTAGTACATTAATACATATTTTGTCTTGGGTTTTAGGTGACATAATTTAGTTAAGATTAACTAATAAACTATTGTATTTCTACTATAATCGTGACAATAATTTATATGTTAAATACTAATGCTCACTCGAATACTATAAGATATAAAGTTAAAACTTTTATAGCAAAAGGAATAATATCTAAATTTAGGATGTTTAAATGTGATAGTGGCATCTAAAGGTGTTAGATGTACACCAGATTTTTAAATCATGAGCTGATGTGTTCTAAAAGTAATATATCATACAACCCTAGAAATGTAAGACCATAATATAAAATAAACTCTAAGTTTTTAACTTTTCAGTCAGTATGAAATTTAAGTAAATTACAAACCTTACTGAGCCGATTTGTTTCTGAACACTAAAATGATCAGATAATGAAATATTTATGACCATCAACCTTTGTTGTGTGTGAGTATATAATACAAACATTTTATGTTGATAATGATGATTTTTTGTTGAAATATTATTTATTGAACTTTATAATTTTAGATAAGGTAATCGATTAGAAATGTAGTACTAATTTAGATTCAAATAAATCACTGGATCATTAAACCTTTATTGTTTACTGTCTGGGAGATCTCAGATGCTAGATATTGTTGTTTTATTGGCGTAATGTTAAATAATACTGTCCCAAGCCTATTAACATCTACTCATAATTAGAGTTATTATGATTCAAAAGCTTCATTTCAGTAAATGTGTTTATGTTTTTACGTTTTTTATGTTCTTATCAGCACAGTAAACACCCATTAGAAATATCTTATTGAAGAACTTTAACTCAATTGATATTCAAAATGTTGTTGCAACATCTCGAGCTAGTAGATAAAATTCGAAAAAAAAAAAGCATTACAAAGTTCAAAGGATATTCTCATGGTTAGCTAAGGACATATGCCATCAAATTATGTATCACAACATAGGCTTAACGCACAGATGTTTCTAACTCCGTATCTCGTATCCGTAGCTTACAATACAAAAGTGTTTCAGTGAATTTAAAATATTATAACTTAGATAATGAATTCCAAATCTATTTATTTTCATAACCGAGTAAAACAACTTCGAAAGCCAACGCTTTAGGGACAAGTAATTTATCTTAACTTATATTCATTTTATAAAATCGAACTTTTAAAAGTAGACTTCTGAAGAAGATCAAAAAGAAAAGTTAATTCAAAGCATCATCTTTAAATGAATCGCAGTCTTTACCTATATACATATTCAATTTCCATCAGTAAGAGAAACAATATTTTTTGTTTTTAACGATTGAGTTTGTTTGTAGTTAAGCACAAAGCTACACATTGAGCTATCAGTACTGTGCCAACCACGAGTATCGAAGCCCAGTTTCTAGCGTTATAAGTCTGCAAACATACCGCGGTGCCACTGAAAGGGAGATGTCAAAAAATACGAATGTAGAACATTTCAACTATAGGTACGTAGGAGATGAAGTAGGTGAATAGGAGAAGGGAATTCATCTATCTCTATTCAAAATGTGTTAGTCATCCTGTATCTACAGTACAAACGAGAAGTTCGTTTATGACGTCACGTGTGGGTGCCGTATCCCTATAGATTAACTAATGAAACCAATGTTGCGAGTGAACTAAGATGGTTATTGCTATTGGCACGAAGAGTAGAGAGGGGACAAGGTGATAAGATATGTAACAGACGTTTGGGCTTAGTGGTTTGGCAGTGTGGAATCGTAATGGTGGTCATGGGACCCAGTGGATGCGTTCCTGCATAAAAATGAAGTTAGTCACATTCAATTGCATTCGTACCTGCACTGAACTCGTGCATCATTATGATGTTATGCGTACTATTGCGAGAGTGAGTAGATAGATAGAGTGCACGATGCTAAGAGCCACGAGTGTGTTTGTTTGATTGTTGAATTTCTCGTAAAGTTACTCGATTGCTATGTACATTCCACGGGTATGTGGGAGATACTGACATAAATTTCTGTTGTCATTTCAAGTGCTATGCATCTGTCTGAATTTGAGAAACACAATGATATATATGTTAAGCATATGGTCGGTCAGTAGATACTCAGCACCTTATTTTACTACAGGATGACAGGCGTCACTTGATACGGAGGTGTTGTTCGCTAAAACAGTATTAGTTTAGGAAGCATTAAGTGATAGAAAAATTTAGCTCTTTAACATTTATAAATGCTACTATACTTTAAATGCAAAATATTATAATTACAAATAATTTGTTTAGATTAATCTTATTAAACCTTGCTAATTTTGTTATTAAGTCTAGTTCCATATACGGTACTGTTATCATCACACTAATATGAATTTTTGAATTGTATTAATCTCTGTATGGAAAGAAAATCATAGAGAATTGTTATTGTCGTTGTCTCTTAATTTCACGTATTTTATGAGTACAATAAATCGGATATATAAAAGTCGAAACTAACTAGCGAATATTTCAAAAACTGTCAAATGGCTTCCAAAGCTAGATTCCCCTTCCATTATCAAGGGCACTAATAAATAGTGGTTCACTCGTAAATTGTCAAAACACTAAAAACCGATAGGCAAGCTTTTCATCGATTTTTCCTTCGAACTATATATTAGTGGATAAGATACCAGAATAACTTGTATCACTTAATCGTTTTGTTAGAAATGTTACACACTGCTATATTAGAAATAATATCATCGAGTTTAGTGCCAACAATTTCATTGAAACATTATAACATGAACATTGTCAATTACCGCTGCCTTAGGAAAGAAAGTTTGGAATTTAATGCACGTAATGTCTGTAAACATGTTCGAATATAAGACTAGTTTGTTTGTTTGTTTGTAGTTAAGTACATAGCTGCACAACGGGTTATATCGAAACTCGGTTTCTAGCATTGTAAGTCCATAGACAAGTCGCTGTGCCACGGGGAGGGGGGGGGCATAAGACTAGTAATAGTTTTACTCACATCGTCCTTTACTAGTTCAATAGAATACATAACAGCTTTTCAACTACACCATAACTGTTGTACTATGAAACGAACGAGACTTTCCGCTCAGTAAGATAGTCCATCAAGCCGGCTATAGCTTAGGATATATGAAATTTTAGTTCAAACGCTATTTATATTAGTATTTTATGAGACATTAAGTTTGGCGGTGTGAAACGCCTAAGATGGCGAATTATTAACTGTTAATGAATAATACATGTGATATACAAGAGTGGCCATTGTATTCTTTATTAGGGCTTTGTATGTACTGTCAAGCAGTAGTTTTCTCAGAAAGGTAATTATAAGTGAAAAGGCCGCTAAATGTGTCAATGCACCATATAGTTACACGTCGCCCTTTTAAAAATTACAACGTAATATTGTCATATATCGTTGAAACAAAAGATATATGGCTTGGAACTAACTGAATGTTTAAACATGGATGTTAAACACCTCAGTGTAGATAATCATAAGTTCTTCTAAAAGTAAGATTATTAGATGTGAAATATAGGACCTCTGTGCATATTATAGTGACTTATAATATAAAACGCTGAAATAATAATGTAGAGAAATAGAACATGAATAAAAATGTGAATAATAATAATAATAGTAAAACTTTACAAACTTAATGACAAGTTATTCGGAATGTTTTTAGAGACGCTCGAAGGTCAACAATCCCAGGATCGAGAGTGATGCCATTCAGTGTTTCAGTATTTAACAGTGCTATCCAGTAAGCTTCTTTAATTTCCATGTTTCTGTTTGATGTAAAATTTGTCTCTACCTGTCAATATCATGTCAAGAGAGTGGTCAGATATGTTGAAATGCTCTGCAACCGGAAGTTCTTTGTTCGTTTTGATTGAAAATTTGTGGTTATTAAACCGCTCCTGTATAGTTGTTTTAGTTTGGCCTACATACTGGAAGTTACATTTTCGGCACTGGATTAAGTAAATAGCGTTTTTTGTAGTGCAGGTTATGGGTTTATTTATTTTGAACTGTCTTTGGTTGTCTTTATCTGAGAAATTGTTAGTCTGCTGCATGAACTTACAGGTTCGCCATTGCAGGGATAACTTCCACCAGGTGTCGCATTAAAGTTAACCTTGGCATGTATTAATTGGGATTTCAAAGTCTTATTTTTCCTAAAAGAAGCAGCAGGAACTTCCGTAAAAATAGTTTTTAGTCTATCATTAAGTTAAAGGAGGTAAAAGTGCTTTTTCAGTATCCAGGGTTGTTTTTTTTTAATTTTGGGTGATATGTGATAACTAGTGGAACACGAGAGGAATTTGTTTTAGGTGACTGTTTCAAGGCAGATATACGTGGAATATTGTTAGCTTTGTCAACTTGTTGAATCACAGTGTTTTGTTTATACCCTTTTTCGGTCATAGTTAATTTCAAAGAATCAATGTGACGGTCATAGTTCTTACTGTCAGAGCAGATTTTCTTTAATCTAAGTGCTTGACTGAATGTAATATTTCGTTTGGTGTGTGGAGGGTGACAGCTTTAAAAATGTAAGTATTGTGGTCTATCAGTCGGTTTACGGTTCAAATCAGTATGTAGAAAACCATCTTTTAAAGTCAGGTTTACATTTAAAAACTTATTTGAGTAGTGGAGTAATCTAGAGTAAATTTAATAGAAGTGTAGGAAATAGTTTGTATGTGTATAGAAAGATAGTAAGGAGTCTTCGTCTCCTACCCAAATGAAAAAAATGTCATTTATGTATCGTTTCCAAATGTTTGGTTTGTCTTTATAACTTTTCTACAGTCTCGTCTCTAAGTCTCCCATGAAAACATTGGCATAGTTTGGTGCCATCTTGGTCCCAATAGCTGTGCCTTTTGTCTGAGTATAGAATTCATTATTAAATTCAAACCCGTTTAGTGTAATAACTAGTTTAGCTAAGTCTACAATAGTCTGAGTGTTGGGTTTCTCAAGTTTCAAAAGGGAAGATTCAAGAGCTTTCAGGCCTTCGTCGTGGGGAATGTTTGTGTAAAGAGAAGAAACGTCCATGGTGCAGAGAATAGTGTTTGGAGGTAATTTTTCGTTGTTGTTAATGTCAGAGATCATGTTCAAAAAATCGGTTGTGTCTTTAATATATGACGTCAAACATGGAGGGATATCTTTGATGTGATGATCAACGTAAGCAGATAAGTTCTCGGTGGGCATACCGCAATTGTAAATAATAGGACGACCGGAATTGTTAGGTTTATGTATCTTTGGTAACATGTAAAAGCGACCTGGAATTGGGTGTTTAGGTGAAAGGAACTGTAAAGATTCACTACTTATGTGTTGGTTTTTCTGTAAACTACATAGCTTGTCTTCAATTATTTCAACAAATTCCGGGATGGGGTCGAAATCTACTTTTTTATAGTAGTTTATATCATTAAGTTGTCGATAAGCTTCGTTAATATAGTCGGATTTGTCCTGAATGACAATGGCGCCGCCCTTGTCAGCTTGTTTAATAATAATGTCATTGTCATGTTTCAGTGAAATTAGAGCAGCATGTTCGTTGTAGGAGAGATTATTCCGTACTTTTAAGTCAGAGTTAATGTCTTAAATTACTTCATTCTCAATTGCAGTAATAAAGCTCTCTAAGTGTGGTTCTTCTAGTTTGTCCTATATAAACTTTTTTACATTCACATAATATTTTATATATGCCAAATTTTTCCATTAAATCAGTTTTATCTTTACTTGTATTAAGAATTTCGCTGACTTTGTATATCGGGAAAATATTTTTTTTTAATTATTTGACAAGATAAACCAGGTATATATGATAGAACTAAATATTCTTTCTTATTTTTTTCAGCAAATAGTTTTAACTTAATATTTTTATTCCTGTTTTATAACAGCTCTGTCAACAAAATCTGGATTAAAACCTCTTTCCACTGCTGTATGCTTAATTAACAATAACTCATTATTGATATCATCCTGTTTACAACATAATTTTAATATCCTATCCATATAAGAGTAATAAAAAAAAACAGGTAAGCAACCATTTATCTCAACTTGATAATGAAATCTTATGACTCTTTTAATGACCTACAAACCTTGCTGTTACATATTTTCACTCTCCGTACTGACCTTCGCGTATGTTTCTCAAGCGTTATTTACTGTGACGTAATTAGACATAATGATGATCTCTTTCTAAGACAAGTCTGTAATACTGACACTTTAAATCACAAAATTGACAAATTCAACGCTCTCGCACATGACCTATGTCAACGTAACCCATGCCTGTCTTTCCTTTACAACACTAACTTGAAAGCAGGAGACATTTCTTAGCAAAGGATGGTTTACACCTTTCTTTCCAAGGAATCGTTTCCCTATCCTGTAATTTCTGCTTCTTTATTACCAACTTTATTCTTCCTCGCTTACAAACTAATACTGGATACTCCAGCGTAAACCAACCAAACACCCCTAGTCCTAAATCTCATTCAACCTCTTCTATTCCCCATACCCCGTATCTCATTAAAAAACCCTCAACCCGAAGAGCATACATCTGTATGCCACATCTCTACTACACTCCCAAACCCTGTTTCTCCTGGAACTGTCCCAAACTCTAATTGTGACCCTTCACCTAAATGTCTAACCTATGCTGAAGTTACGACTTCCACTTTTATTTCTAGTAACCTTTCCCTAAGCCCCAAACCTGATACCCAATCTAAGCCTGCCTCAGTCACAACCTTTCAACCCAAAGTAAATACATCTGTATGTCACACTTCTATACTTCCAAATTCCATTTCTATCATTACTTCCCCTGGAACTATTCGAAAGTCTACATTTAACCCTTCTCCTAAATTCTCTACTCATGCAGAAGTTACGGCTTCCACTCTTATTCCTAATAACCTTCTAGTAAGTCCTGAGCCTGATGACCTTCCAAACTTCACAATCTCTGAAACTTTTCTCCTTCCAAAAGCCGAATCTTCTGCACACCTTGAAAACAACCTTCCTTCGGGTATCCTCTATATTCGTAGCAATCCTCCACTAAGTTCCAAACCTGATGACTCTGAACTTTCACGTTCCACAGAAAAATCTGCCACTCTCCTCAAACTAAACCTTCCATCCGTTACAACTTTCCAATCGTATTATAATCTCAACCCTACCAAAACTCTCAAACGACTTAGAAAACTGAACGAAAAGAGACTGAGATATATTAACCATACTGACGTTTTAGAACAGCATTTACAGTGTCAAACTATACCTAAATCACTTAATCTGAATCCACCAGTTACCATAAGGGACAATGACAAACTATTTTGTTTACAATGGAAGAAAATCCTCCATTCCACCTCATTTGCTCTTATGAAGCTCACACAAGACTTCTGCAAATACACAGTAGCCGATCTTGATAAAAACATTTCTATTATAAATTCCGAGAACAATTTCTATTATTGAACAAAATAAACGTCATGTTTTTATTAACAAAACAAAAAAGTCTTTCGAAAATCACACAATAAACAACAAGGAACAAACACATCATGATCTTTCACATAAAAGTAAAAGTTTATCTCACCAAAAGCTTATCGTCTGTTCACAACAAAATAATAACTTTAAACAAGCCCCTACTGACGCCACCTGTTGACAAATAATACAAACTCGCACGTTGATTTGTCTCATAAAATAAGCTCTACTCCTGACTCATCCAATTCAGCTACTTCCTTGTCTGAGAGACCCAAACCCGAAAACATTTCCAATATCGTAATTCTGTCCTCTAGAACATTAATTGAAACTCAACCTTCTCAGTAAAGGTCTCAACTTTTCTTCTTATTTCCGACCTTCAAGAATTTGCATGCAGAGTAAGACTTCGGGAATTTTTCCACAAGAAAACCACTAACGCAAACGATATCGGTACACCATTTAAAGAAAAAATCAATCTGGTCAACAGAGAAAATTTAAAATTCAGACATGAACATAAAAGAAATGTTAAACATAATAATATTACTATTTCACCTTTAGCAAAACATGTTAGTGAAACTAATCACACAATTAAATGGGAAAAAAATGTTTATTTTAGCACAACCTGGAAATGTAATTGGTATGAATGTACGTAAATCTGAGATAATTAAATGTAAAAAAGTTAAATTTAAATTATTAAATAAGGATGATGGACCTGACGGAAATGTTGTGAGCAGATGGCGTGAAATTCTTAATATGTAAATTGGTGTTTTGATAACTGTATAAATGTTATTTTTTTCCAAAACATTACACTCCTGAGGATGATGCAAGGGTACGTGTCGAAACATGTAAAGTGTATGTGATTGTTTTCCAGTGTCATCGGAGTTTTTACTACTTTTTATCCTGTAAAGTAATTTTATTATTTTAGTAATTTGGAGACTGGAAACAATGTCATTTTTATAGAATTGTTTATAAAATAATCATTGTTATTTTAAAAAATTTATAGTATTTAAAATTTAATGTTGTTTTCATTTAGTCATTACTGACACAGTGCAGTCAATCATGAATACTTTCTTTATCTTGTAACATTGTGATTGTTCAAATAACAGGTAAATTTTTATGTTTATGAGAAAGTTTGCCATTTACTTGCCAATGGTTAAAGGCTTTCTGTTCAAAATACAGTTTCTTCAATAAGATTATATAGCTCAAAATTTTGTGAAAGTTGTTTCACCAATTTAAGCATAAAAATTTCAAGTGTTGTTGAAAAACATAAAAGTTCATACAAATAGTGTATTCTAATAATTACAAACTCATTTAGTTCATAATGATTACAAGATGAAGAACAACATTTGCTTACAAACTTCTGTTTGTTAACTATTTTATCCCTATTCATTTATATGTACATGCACCAGTAAAAAAAGAAATGTCAAAACAAACAAATAAAAGATTTAATTTCGATATGAATTTCTTAGTAAACATATAAATGTATAACAACAAATATAGTATCAATGGGAAATAAAATTAGTGTTCCACACAAATACATTAAAAAATGTTGAGACTGGCAAAAAAGTTTAGAAACATTTTATTGAAGCTGAAAATTGATAAAAAATTAAAGAAGAACTACTTATTCAAATAAACATGTTTTGTTTATTTTTCTGCTTTTGATTTCTTTGTTTTAGCAGGTTTTCTACAGGACAGACAGTGCCAGTTCCCTTTAGATACTTATTTTATTTTTACAGATTTAAAATGAAACCAAACAAAAGGACAACTGTCATTTTCACATCCAATTACATCATCTACTTCTGAATTATACAGTTTGACAAATGCATATAATCAAGTTTTTATCATTGTTTTTGGAACCTGCTGCTTCTCCACAAGCAGAAGCTTCTGATGTATTTAAATCGCTTACTGCAGACACACTGATATCAGGACTAGAAAACAGTTTTCTACTAATTCTGGTAAAATTGCAGTAACAAAGAGTAACTTGGAATTTTTTACAATGTCCTTATAAAATTCTGTGTCAATCTCAATTCTTTCTACATGAAAATCAACTTCAGTCCACACCATGAAGTTACAAAATTCCTTTTCAAATACTATAAGTTCACAGTGGACCTGATAGTAATACTGACAAGATCTATTTAATCTCATTTTACCATTATGCATTTCTAAACAAAATTCTTTATACAGAAAGGGCATTTAATTTCTAAACATAACTCCCCACAACAATTACATGAAATTATTCCATCCAGTGAAGCACCCAGAAATGGACTTTGAAGTTAGCATTAGCTCATTATATTTTAAAGCCAAGTTTTCATAACTCTGAGTCATCACTTCAATATATTGCTTTTGGGCATATTTTTCATGTACACATCCCCATCATGTTGCTTTAGTTGAATATTTCATAGTGGATAGATAGCTGTAATTCATCCTGTTCTGAATCTGTGCCACTCTTCTACATATATTATTTCCTGTTCACTAAGGGTAATGGTTTTAAAAACTTCCTCATAGTGCATAATTAGTGTCTTTGTCTGCAGTTACATAGATTATCTCTTAGATCTGACAAAACTAATGGGAATTTTTGTCCAAAGCTTTAGGCTTATAGTATTCTACATAGTTTGAAATTATTAACAGAAGATTTTTTTTGTACTGGTGTTGTGAAAGCCTTATAAATAAATGGCTAGTTCATTATCAGTTGGAGGTGGCACATGTATATTTTTGGTAGTTTTTGAATCTGTATTTGGTGTTGCAGTGCAACTATTTATAACTGCTTCTAATTTGTTTTTTTTTTTTTTACAGAAGTAAAATCAATATCCTTAATAGGTTTTTTTCAACTTTCTGCACCACTAAAGGAAATAGCCAGTATGATTTATCTTGTGTTACTGTTACTGCATTTCTACGTTTCACTGCTGCTTCAATAGCAAAAATCATACTTCCAACACAACTGCAACTCTCTCCAAGACCAGCCATACAATTACAGTGCAGTTAAATCTTTCCATCCGTTTCAGCAATTAACCATGCATGAAGGGGTGTATCATTTAATCGCTGATCATGTTTTATTCTTACCTACACTAAGAACTTTTCACCGATATTTATTTGACACAGGTCTTTAACTCAACCACAAACTGATTATACGATT